AGCGGCGTCGGGCCCTCGCTGCCTTTCCGCCAAAGCGACGAATCCGGCTCGGGACCTCCGCGGTTGCAACCTTAGGCTTCGTCTCTTGGTTTTTGTGTAGCGCTTTGCGTCCTCGACGGTGGCTGTTTTGATCTGCGACGCTCGGTGATAAGCGGCCGATGAAAGGAGGGCGCCCGGCCCGGGGCAGCCCGGCCCCCACCAGCCGTAGAGGGGCTTCTACACTGCCCTGGTAAAGAGGTTTTGTCTCCCTTTTAATTCCACGCTTAGCTCTGCCGGAAAGCAGCTGAAACGGGGAGAGTAAATCTAAGCAATAATGAAACAGTAGAAAAAGTGAAGAGGTTTTTCATTACATGGTAAGCGGATATCATGTTGGTGGCACTAAACAAGGTTGTGCTTGAATGTTAGTAGATGGAAAACAGTGGGTTGTGGCGCACAGTCTCCGGTTAGTGCTGATAAATGTAGTTGCTGTGGTTTTTTCCTTTCAGTTATTTGGGAAGCATTTTCCTTAATATTTCCCGTGCACGAATGTATTTTCTGTAAGCTCTTTTGCTGCCCAGCGCTTTGGCTTTTCAGAGAGCGATGCCCAGAGGCCGTGGCCCTGCGCTTCGCTCAGCGCTGGGGTTTTTCAGCGTTCCCGGGGCGGCGCTGTTTCTCCATGTCCTTTTCTCTCCTGGCCCCAGGGTATTCCCGTCCCAGGAAGCCGGCTCGCGCGCGCTCTCCTCTTCTGCTAGAGCCCGAGCGCCTGTGACGGTGTAAAGCAGCGCTGGGCGCTTCTGAACTTGCTCCAGCGGAAACAGTGACTCTCAGAAGCCTCGACTTCATGCAGAAAAGAGAAATTTCTTGGTTTTAAGGTTAAAAGAAAGTGAGGCAACTGATAGCTACAATAAATAACGGAAAAATATTCATAAATTCAGCAAGCTTAAAATATTTCTCTTTTATCCCCAACCAGTGTACATTTAAGCAGACCTGCACAGGCACGCACGGTTAGTTTTATGTTCACTAAAAATTTAGCCTTTGTCTTCGTTAGGTGCAGAGCAAACCCCAGAGATCCGACCTCCGTGTTTGCATCTAAAATAAAGATGGCTAGTATGGTCGTGTCAAAATTCGGGTGAAGTAAGGGGTCTTTTGTTTTTGCTCTTTGTTCTGTTTTTTAATCAGGGCTGAAGTGTGTTACCAGAGGCACTTCGGATTTTAAGAAGGTTTCAGCCAAACGGATTTTTGCTCCAGGCTGCTGCTAACGAATTCGTAGGCAGATCGTTAGCATCCTGTGATGTGGGAAAAATTAACTGGAGTCCCTTTTCTGCCAGATTTAATGTGAAACCTTGAAAGTAGTTAGCCACGGAGGAGAGAAGCATGTACCTTGCTTGGCACATTACATTTCACATAAATCCTCGGACAGTTTTATTTTTATTTCATTGTGAAGCAAATTTCAGATTTCAAGTCAGCTCCTTATATGTCAGACTGATGTCAGCCTACAAATCTACAAACACAGAGAGGAAGATCTAATATTTGTTTTCTTGTAGCCAGAGCTCACGATCTGAGGAGAAGAAAGATAAATTTCTAAGGAACAAAAATAGATTTTATGCAGGGTGTCCAAAATAAAGAAAATTCATTGAAACTTTCCAGAGAAGTTTTACGCAGCTGTCCTCAGCAGACAGGCGATGTAGTGTATGTCCACTTAGAAGGATGTGTATAATGCACTTAATATCCATATTATCTGTTAGACATACCGCTCTCAAATATCACTCAAAAGTGAACATGTTTAAGGGGAAAAAATAATTAATGGGAAGCATTTCCAGGGCACTAGATCAGCTATACGCTGCTGCCCAGCAGCACAGCTCGGTGCTAGTTGTCCAGCTTTGGGACATGGAGGAATTTTTGATATTTTGTGTATTTGTCCTTGCTCTATGGTACCAGTGACTTAACACAGCCTCTGTATTTGTTTCTCTTTATTTTGCTCTAATGGCCATACTCTGCCGTTTGTGCGCTTCCATCTTCAAAATTGGCATCACCGGTTGTTTTCTGCAGTTGCACCCTTGATATCTGAGAAGCCCAAGTGAACGATTTGAGAAGGTGCCCAGCTCGCTAAAAAATAGAGCGGGGGAGCGGGGGTTTCTGTGTTGGCTTCTTTTGCAGCGCGGATGAGGTTGCAGGGCTCGGGAGCCTCCCCTGCCGGGGAGCGCCCCCGGCACGTGCGCCAGAGCCGTGTTTTTTGCCTGGAGAGCGGAGCAACGCTCAGCGTTTGCCTGCAGAGCTCTCGGCAGCGGCAGTCGGTCGCGTTCGGCAGCGAGGTCGAGCCTGCGAATCACTTGGTTTTCTCTCTCCTCTGCAGCTTTGAATGTGACAAGTTGATAACTTCCTTTT